AGGGCTTCAAGAGGCCCCTACCAATCAATTAGTTTAGCATGCATGATCAAAAGCATTTGTCCTTGGGATGCTGGATGATGGCTGAGACTCCCTCCAGCTGTGCTGATCTAGGGTTGCAGCTGATGCAGGTCGAGGGCTCAGCCTGGAGACCACCAATCTACAGCTGTCCCTGGGGCTTCCAGGCCCATGGAGCTGCCCTTGTGCTGGTGCCTTATTAATTTTCCTCACTGCTAATAAATGTGCATTGCGTCAGCTCCTTTCTGCCCCTCATGTTCTCTGGCTGCCGCCATCAGCTGGGACTTTTTCAGAGAGCTGTAAAAAATAGGTTTTTTTGTTTTTTTTAAGAAGCCTGCACTGAAGAATCAGCCAAGGCTTTTTTTGTTTCCTTTCTTTTCTGAGGGACTGGGGGAGATGGGTAGGGAAGACTTCACAATGAAGGAATGTGCTCCTTTGGGAGTTGAAAGTTGTTTTCCTTAAAAAAAAAAGAAGAAGAAGATGAAAAAGAAGACGTTATCACACTCTGGTTTTGCATCTAGCCACAGAGCACATCTGTATGGCTGGTAACCGCTCCCAGGGGACAGTGGCTTAAGCCTAAACTCCTTAGGCTGTTGACAACTAGGTCCCAATGAGCACAGCTCTAATGAGTGGCTCTCTCTTACTCACTCACTGCCTGCTCCCTGGCTTTGGAGTTCCATCCACTGGGGAGCTTCCCCTGCCTGCAGGGAGGCTGGGCAGGTAGGAGAACTTCTTTCTCACAAGTGGGTGTTTCACTTTCCCCACTGCTGTGCTCTGGGGTTGAGGAGGCTTAGCACACAAATCCTAATTTGTTAGGACTGGGAAAGGCTTGAAATCTGGAGGTTCCATCTCCTCCTACCTCTTCTCCACTTACAGATGAAGAACCAAGGCTTGTAGTGTGTTGGGGAATGGGTGGGAGTGATGGGGTGGGGGTCAGTTTGGAGATAGGTGCCAGAGGGTACAAAGCAGGTCCTGGTAAGAGAATGCATCTCTCTCTCTCTCTTTCTCTCTCTCAGGTTTGAACTTAGGGTTTCGTGCTCTACTGCTTGAGCCATACCTTCAGTCCATTTTGCTCTGGTTATTTTGGAGAAGGGGGGGGTCTTGAAAACTATTTGTCCAGGCTGGCCTACGAACCTCAATTCTTCTGGTAGCCTCTCAAGCAGTTAGGATTACAGGCATGAGCCACCGGTGCCTGGTGAGAATGCGTCTCTTGATTCCCAGACCACCAAATCAGAACTGAGAACACCAAATCATCTGAGAATTCAGATGGCATTGAGCGCAGGGCTCCCTGGACTTGGGTGATGCATGCCCATGTCCTGAAAGGAAATGCATTGCTCCAAAGCCCCAGGATTTGAATTATACTTTTAGGCTTTATGTTTTTCTTTCTTATATAACCATAATTCCCCCCAAAACAAATAAAGGAACACAAAGGAAGTCAATACTCCCATTAACAACATTAAGATGCTGTGATGGATAATCCTGTTTTGCTGAAACAGAATCCCATGGAGCACACAAGAGATGCAGAGAGCCTGCAGGAGACCCTGGGCCTGCCTGCCTGCCTGTGTCCACCAGAGCTTCCCTACAGTAGCTACCAGAGGGAGGAATTTGGAAGACAGTATAATGTCAGGGGAAGGAAGAAGACCAGTATGGGGCAGGGCCATGTCAGATAGCAGTCAGAAAGCTGAGAGCTTGAGACTTGGTGGCTTCAGAGCCTTCTGGGGTTCACTTGCCCAGGACAGGCTGGCTGACAGTGTATTTGCCTTGGACAGGGCTCCCTGAAGGTTGAAGTCATCCCTTTCCTTCTTAACAGACCTTTAACCATCAAGGCAGTGCCATGCCACCTGCCAATGGAAACCTCTCTGGGGTTTGCCCACCCCTGGGCACTACTCCTACCTGCCTCTACCTTTAAATGGGGAGCACAGACCATGAATGCGATACACAGGTAAAGCATATACCCTAGGGGGTTACAAGCTGGAAAGGGCTGATGGTCACAGTTGCTAAAGATAATGCAGTGACATGACAGTGAAGGCTTGAAGGAGGGGAGGAAGCAACCCATTGCTCTGTCTGGGAAAATCGCACCTCCTTCCTGGCTCAAATGCCCCTTCTCCCAAGAAATACCCCAGAGCTGAACCCCAGTTCTGCCACTCTGGTTCCCACACTCTTCCTGAAGTGTCTGTCACTTGACACTGGGTCAGACTTGGCCCTCCTCCAGGTGAATGCTGTGTTCCCTCCTACTAAAATGCCAGCTCCATGGGGGAGGGGATTGCTTAGTTCACTGCTGCGTCCTCAGTCTCAGTGGGCAGTCTGCAAGTGGCATTGATGTGTTACAGGTGGGCAAGGGAAGGGATGGAACTGCTTGTTCTTGACACTATCTTGACTCTAGGTGGTTAGGAGCCTCACCAAGCTTATCGTTCTAATCCACCCCCATCATTGCTGTACTCAACACCTGTCCAATGTGAATGACTCAGTGTGAGCCCATTGCCTCCTGTTCAGATGATCAGACCAGGAGAAGGTCTTGGGGACAAGTCTGGAACCATGATGCTCTCCACATGACCTCTCTCTCCAACGGAATCACCTGGACCTCTCACATGCAACTAAGGGCTCCAATTGGCAGAAGCTGAACCATCATTCTTTGAAAAGCAAAGTGTCACCTGTGCAGGACTCCATTAGCCAAGGGAGTCACAGGCCAGGCCAGATAAACTGTCCCATCTCTTCACGCATATAGGGAGGGAAGGGATTGATGGAAACCCTTAACACATCTGAGAAAAGAAGGAAGCCACTGGGAGGTTTGGAGTGGAGAAATGACACAACATGGCCTATGTTTTTATAGGATTGCTGGCCAACTGTGGAGGAACCTGTCACACCAGGCTCTTTGCCCCAACCCCCACCCCACCCTGCCCCTCTTTATGCACCGGGGATTGAACTCAGGGCCTTGTTCTTGCTAGGTAAGTGCTCTACAACTTGAGCATGCACCCAGCCCTTCCTGCAGAGCTCTTATTCAACCTCTGTCTCAGCCCCAAAGACTCCCTCAATTTGCTGTAATTGGCACAGCCACTTGGATGGAGGAAGGTAGAAGCAAGGGTAGATAGTGAGTCCAAAAGAGCTTCCTGCCCAGATGTCTCATCACTGGATCCAGGGTCCTGCTGGTTAATAGTAGCAGTGCTGAGTATGCGGTTGGGAGGCAGGGAGGAGCTTTCGGGGCCACCAGGTTGACTGAATTCTCCTTTCTTCTTTCCACCCAGGCTGGTCCTATGCAGGGCTGCTATGAAAGAAACTCCAGGGAACACCTTCCTATTGCACTCTGTTCTCACCTGGAGGCCTCTCCTGGACCTCTAATTGCCACTCTCCTCCCTCTCACTAAGGGGTGCACACTCACTTTGGAACAACCTGAATAGCCAGAAATAGAGACTCCAGAGTCAGGATTATAGAGCTTCATGAAGTATCCAAGGTTCCATCTCATCCAGTCAAGTTGACTGCAATCATAAGACACCTCTCTATACCACAGTACTTCAGAGCAGGTTCCATCCAGCAATCACAGGGAGGGCACCAGTGCCTGAATACCAATGTCCAGGCTGCATATGGCTGGAACTCCCAACTGACCTGGATGGTGCTCCTGCCATCTGACTCTGACCTGGAAGGAGCCAGGAGGATATGGGGCCGGACCAAGGGAGGCCAGTGGCTCCAGCTTCCACCCAGGCTAGGAGCACAAGCACAGAGAGCTAGCTGCCTATGAGGCCAACACCGTAGGTAGCCCAGACACTCACCTTCAGGTGCTAACTGCTGGGCTCTCAAGAGGTAGTGAAGTACAAAGGTTCAAAGCTTGGATTTTTTGGGTCAGTTGGCCTGGGTTCAAATTCCACTTCTATTATTTCCTTTGTGTTGGCAAATTTCTTCCTCTAGAAGCCCTAGTTTTCTCGTGTGTAAAATGGGGTTGCCTCCCTGAGTTGTTATAAGGATGAATGAAGTAGCATTTGAAGTGGTTCCCTGCATGGTAGCCTTTTGTTTGTTTGTTTTTTTTTTTTGAGACAGGGTCTCACTATCTAGCCAGGCTGGCCTGGAACTTTCTACGTAGCTCAGGCTAGCCTGAAACTTAAGATCCTCCTGCCCCAGCTTCCTGAGTGCTGGGATGGCAGGCATGTACCACCCTGCCCAGCTCAAGTAATACTAAAGTTGTAAAGACCATTGACTGTGGGAGGATCTCAGAGTCATAAAAATTTTAAAGTTTGGGGGGTGGGTGGGCAAAGGTGTAGCCCTCCATACTGGAGAATAAAGCCCTGAAGTTTATTGCCAAAAAAAAAAAAACAAAACAAAACCATTGAATAGTCTTAGAATTTTTTTTACAGGTTGGGGATTGAACCCAGGGCCTTGGGCATGCTAGGCAAGCACTCTACTGCTAATCTACATCTCACTCTAGCAGTAATTATTATCATCTCCAGAGGCCTGACCTTCTGCTTTCCCTTCCTTTCCTTGCCTCACTCCTGTTTCCTGGACCAGCCATCCAGGGGATATGGAACTTACCAGTGGCTCCATTATGCTCTTTCAGAGTAACCTCAAAAAGTTAGCTAACTGGGGAATGGCTTTAATGAAAGGCACAATTTTGTTGGGGTATCTGCATTTTCTCATTCAAAGCAAGGTGTAGGCCACATGGAGTTTTGAGAGTTTTATCTTGGCAACTCTATCAGTGTGAAATCTATATTACTAATATTATAGGGTAGCTCCTGGGTCCAAAACCAGCAAGAAGTTCCTTGTGGGGAGACATCAATGTGGTGTGCAATCCCAGCAGCTTCATACCACCAGGGGGCACTGCCCAGCAGGTCTCTGTCCCACTTCTCAAGAAGGTTTAGAAGGCAGAAGTCAGTGCCCTGGAGACAGGGGTGTGGACAGCTAGCCTGGATCTTGAAGGTATGCAGCCTGGCAGGCTAAGAGCAGAAGTAACAAGGATCCTTCTTGTCAGTTGGGCTATTTACAGCTGTCTTCTGTTCCCTCACACACCATACCACCCCAAGACTGATGGGATAATGCTCAGGGAATGATCAGAGGCTCAGAGAGGTGAAGGGTCTGCTCCAGGCCACACAGCTGGTAAGTGGAAATGTAAAGATCACTCCTAGGTTGGCCGGTTGCTGACTCGAGAGCCCTGCATTGACCAGTGGGAGAGGTAGCAGGGTGATGGGGAGGGATCCACTCAGCACAGCTGACTATTCCTATCCACTCCCTTCCTTTTCTCCCACTCCATGGAATGATGGCTTTCTTCTCTATCTGGGAGGAGTTGGGAAAGGACTCAGGATCAGCTCCACAGTCAACCAAAATGTGCTTTTCCTGAACACAGTCTGGAGCCTCTTCAGGAATGATATTCAGTCCTGTGGAAGACTCTCACACACCCAAAATAGCCATGGGCACCCCATGTCCGGAGGCAGGTCCTGGGATGCAAGGGGGGCCAGACAGCTGCCCTAAGCCGGTGCTTCTGGCCACCATTCACTTGACTTTAGAGATTGCTCTAAATGCTGCTGTGTGGCCTCATCTAAGCTTCACACCAGCCCTGTGAGAATGCTGTTATTTCTCCATCCTTCAGGGGAGGAAGCTGAGGTTCGGAGAGTGCCATAGCAGCTCTGGAAAGAGGTACATTGGCTTTCCACCCATCATTGTCACTGACTGATTAAATGTACAAGGACTGGGTGAGCTGGGATCTTGACTTTTGCTTGGAACTTGGGTCTCCAGAGAGAGCAATGTAAAGGACAAGAGGGCTGGTTGTCTTTCAGCAAAGATTGCTTAGGCATCAACTTGAGGAGACTGGGAGGAAGGGAAGGGGTAGTATTTCAGGAGCTCACAACAAGTCACCCTGCCATTTGCCTTCTCCCACTTCCAGGTTACTCTCTGCTGGAGGAATAAGAGCACTCCAGTATGCGTGTGAGCCCTTGCATTTTTGCCAGAGCTTCAGGCTGTCAGGTCTGGCTGGGCACTGGTGGCTCATGCCTGTAATCCTAGCTACTTAGGAGGCTGAGATCAGAAGGCTCTCAGTTTGAGGTCAGCCCGGCAACTACTTTACAAGACCCCATCTCCAAAATAACCAGAGCAAAATGGACTGGAGGTGTGGCTTAAGTGGAAGAGCGCCTGCTTTGTAAGCAGAAAGCTCTGAATTCAAACCCCAGTCCCACCAAAAGATCTGCACTGGAGGGCAAGATGCATCAATACTTGTGAGCAAGCATGTACAGAGGCCAGCGAGAGCAAGCAAAGGCCTACAGGAGGGAGCAATGCAGTTGACCATCGAAGGGTAAGGAAGAGTGGGCTCTAAAGAGGGGAGATGTGGGAGGCCTGGGGGCAAAGGCCAGTGTTCTGGGGTCCCAGGCTGGGGGGTGGAGAGACAGCAGGAAAATGAGGGCTCCTCCCTGGAGCACACCTTTGGTTTTCAGGACATAGATGAGGTGCAGGAAGATGCAGGTGTCCAGGGAAGGAGATGCCTCAGGGAGCATATGCCTGTGGTGCTGGCACCCATCTTGATGGAAAGAATGAACTTCTGAATTTACCGCAGTCAGAAAACCACATGCTAGTGTGTGTGTGTGTGTGTGTGTGTGTGTGTGTGTGTGTGTGTGTGTGTGTGTGTGTGTTGAAGCCTTCTGTCAAAATCCTGCTACGTTCAGGGTCTCTTTATTTTCCCAACTGCCCTGAAAAGTTAGCTGGACAGGAATATCCTCAAAGACAGAAAATAGCCCCTGTGGGATTAAATGCCTTGCACATGGTCATGAATATGAGCCTGGTAACTCACAATAGGTCACCCTGCCACCTGCCCCCTCCCACCTCACCTCCAGGGTAGTCTCTGCTCTAGGAGAGAGGGCATTCCAGTCTGTGTGCAGACTCTTGTACTTTCATTACAGCTTAAGGCCAAAGATCCGTCTTTTCTCAAACCTATCTTTTCTACTTTTTATGCCCACCTGCCTCTAGGAGGAAGTGCCACAAAGGATCAGCAAGAAGAGAAACCCTGTGCTGGTCAGGAGGACGGTATTGGGAAGGAGGGCTTCTGTCAAGGATATATGACAGCCTCTTCGTTTGACCTTTTCTTTCCAGAAGCTCCAGTGGAATGGCAGGGGACTGAGAGTGACATGGGGCACTTGGTGCCAGGCTCTGCTCTGAGTACTTTGCACACAGATGCTCCATCTTCAAGACCACCTGAATAGGAAGACACGATTATAACCCTTGTCTTACTGATAAGGAGAGGGAGGCACAGAGAGGTTAAGTGACTGTCCCAAGGTCACCTGTAAGTGGTAGAATGGGGGTTTGAATCCAGAAGTCTGCTTCAAGGGGCTATTCTGCCTTAGTTATTAATAACAATCAGCACAGCTGTCAATGCTGTGACAGGAGTGGATGTTCTCCGAATTTCTCATTTCATAGATGAGTAAATCTGGGTTTAGCAGAGCATCTGGGGTGAGATGCTTAGATTCTCACAGCTGCTAGGTCTACAGAATACGAAGCTTCCACCCTCCTCTGCCTGACCCCTGTGTCATTTTGCCAAAGCAATCAGTTTTGGGGCCTCAGTTTCCCAATGCTCCTGCGTTCCTCCGATCCAGCAAGTTGGAGGGCATTGGGGGTTGCCTTGCGGCGGGAGATGAGGTAGATGGCAACCTATGGATTCTTTCTCTTGCCACTGAGCTTGCCCCCCACCCCCCCAAGAAGTCGGAGCGCCTGATTTCTCCATCGTTGGCGTGTTTGGATGGGAGGTAAACGGGAAGGTGCTGGCTGGGGAAAGTAGGTGCTGCCTCACCGAGAGGCCAGCAAGTCAGGGTAGTGAAGTCTCCGCTGTGACTTGGGGAAGCATCAGCCACGTGCTCGGGGCAATTGTGCAGGGAGCAGACTCTCCGGAAAAAAGACACGCTCCCAACTTGAGTAGGGGGCGGGGAGGGAGAGCCGGGGAAGGCAGGTTCTGCAAGCAGTGCTGGGGGTAGGGGGGAGGCAGAGAGCACGCGGACAAAGGAGGCGGCCGGCAGCCCAGCTGTTTTGAAAAATGCTTCCTGTTTCTTTAAAGACGCTCGCGGCTCGGGCGGCCGGGGTTGGGGAGGCGGCGGCGGCGGTGGGAGCAGCCTCCTCTCCGGGCGGCGGCGCTGACTGATCTCGCGAACTGGGCTTCTGTGTAAACTGAGGCTAAACAAACACAGATGGAGCGCAGCGGGCGTTCTACAGAAATGCTGGCAAAGCGGCAGCGACTTCAGATGACACTCTGAGCGCTCCGGGAACGGAAAGCCCGGCGGCTTCGCGGAGCCGGCAGCGCAGCTGCCCCGGGCGAGGGGGAGAAAGAGAGAGAGAGAGAGAAAGAGAGAGAGAGAGAGA